GAGTAAAGTAGCTTTCCTAGTTGGCCGATTCCACCGTCACGGGTTGGACATTTGTACAGAAAAAGTGTTCTTTCGTGTTTAAATTTAAGTATAAAGTTCTCTACAATTCTACATTTTGATAAAGCTGAACCTAATTGACTATTATAAGAGTTATTACAAAATACGGGCAAAATCTGATTTATTTCTTCTGTCACGGATATTCACGGATGTCAGATATATTTTACGAAAACTGCGAATTTAGTTCACTTTTCTGTGTGAACTTGATGTCTTATAATAAAACATAGAACCAGGAACACAAACAAAGCAAAAACTACAAAAAAATATGGCTTTATTATACAAAAAAATCTGAAATTCCTCTCTCACGGGTGGGACAGCGTTTGTCACGGGAAGGACACGCACAAATTTTTATATGAAAAGTAGCCTTTAGTGTGGTTCATATATAAAGATTAGTTATCAAAACATATAAGAAGCCAAATAGGGGTTAAATTCACTCACGTTTTACCTTAGGAAATGTGCCTTTTATATAAAATACAATGCCAAGGACCATCAGTAAAAAAAATTATTAAAAATTAACGTGATTTCCTAGCGTCTTGAAATTTTCACTTTTACCTACTTAAATTTAATGAACTACAAAACTGCATACCTAAAAATTCTAAACAAGAAATTTAATTTTTGGGTGTAATTGTTAAAGTTTGTTGAATTTTTATAATTTTTGAATGCAGTTTGAAATATGGATTTATGTGGTTCTGGATAGGTAATGTGCTAGACATTTATAAAAAAAACTATAAACATTAGATTAACAAAATAAAAAGTAAAACTGGACAAAATGTAACTTAACTTAATCAGCTGACCACAAGGGTATAAAGCTTATCAGCCCTGTAAACCTACCTCTGACAACTGTCCCACAAATAGCTGTCACGGGTGGGACATGCTTCTCTGTTGAATTATTCTTATCTAATAACGTGGAAACGACAATGCCATTGTGGTAAATATTTGCAATGAATTTCTAACATTATGTAACAAACACGAAACACAACGTCAACTTTTGTAATTAAATATAACAACTTTTACCTTTTTTTCACGGGTTGGACAAGACCAAGACTGCTTAATAATAACACATACTATAGATTAAGCACTCACATAATTTAATATATACCACAACTTTATTAAAAGCAGATGAGTTCTACTATATATTTTTCTTACCAAACACTTCAATTATGAATCGCAAATTATTTGACAGTGCATTCAACACAACCTACTTTAAACTAAATCAAAAAATTTACTTAGAACTTGATTTCAAAACGTAAAAAAGGTAATAAAAATGCATTTAAAGCTTTAATTTGTTATTTTTTGGTTGATTCAAGTTTTTAAAAATGTCTTATCCACGCGTTTGTTAGTTTTATAAAGAAAATAATTTTCGCACTGAGATCCACTTTCCCATGGAACCTCCCAGTTACTGATTTATAGCAAATTATGCATTTCTCTTAATTACTGTTAGATGGGATATGAACGTGATTAATGCCAGATTTTTCTCCAACTGTTTGCTGTATTTTGCCAAGGTCAAAAGATATGTCAAGTTTGGTTGAAATCGGTATAGCGGTTAGCGAGATATATACATGTAATCATAAGTGGGCGGGGATATGATATTTAAAAAAATCAACAAACTTCGTAAAAATGTTGAGCTTTTTAATTCGATTTCTAATAAAAATGTTGAGTGTGCAGTTTTTTAGCCCAATAAATTCTAGAATAGAATAAAGTACAAGTTTCAAATGACTAAATTATGGTATTTTATTTTTTTAATCGTTAGCAGTAGGCGTTTAAGATGCTATCTTAATGAAAATTAAATAGAAATGTGAAACTTTTAATTGAAAGTTCCTTATATTTTACTATAAAGTCCAACCTACAGAAAGCACAGAAGCTGTTTTATCAAAAAGTCCTTAAATATGTATGTAAATACATATTTCCTTACATAGGTACATAACTACTAGGTGGATAATTATTCATATGTGGTTAATTTGGATGTGTTATACATGAATTCACAAAAACATTCATGAGTGAAAACTACCGAAAGATTGTTAGAATTCGCTATTGTTTATTATTGACATCTGACTACGGAATTTCTAAGTAATCTTAACTTTTAATATCAAAGAATATTCTCGCCACCTGAAGTGATGTACATACACCCATAACCGTAGTATGTATACTCTGCGCATACTGGATTTACCTACATATGCATGTACATATGTACATACATATAAAACATTGTATTCCTTACCTAGGAAAGGTTTGGACAAATATGCCACATGCCACTAACTTTATGAAATTCTTTAACGCCTTCTTTACCCTCTACTTCCGCACGCCAGGAAACAGCTTGCATCGCTGGTTTGTTACTGCAACTTAACATCGGGGTGCTCAAGCAGAAATCGAACACACATAGGAGCATGCATAGTATTTGTAGATGACACTTAGCGGGTACATACCAGTAGATATGAGCACAGAAGGCATGTTTGCAGGCGAATATGCCACCGCACATAAACTCCAGGTGTGCAACCGTTGCGGCACGCACCACGATCGCTGTAGTGAATTATAAAAGCATATGAGTGAGAATGAAAATACCCAGCAAAAAAATCTAAAATCGCTTCTCGTGGTAAAGTGTTTACCTAAGAAACGGATGTGAAATCCAAAGAAATTGGTAAGCACTACCACTTTCGATTCTAATAGGCATTACTTTAACATGGGCATGCCAATGGCGGTAATGGCTTGCAGAAGACTTTGCATTTCCCGTAATAGGTTAAAGAAGCTTGGAGCGTAGTTCCATTTTTACAAATTTTAAAGGAGAGGAAAAAACTTATTTTGGCCATTTTTTCAATTATTTCCCAAAATTTTTAATAAAACATGTAAACAAGTAATTTCATAATTTTAAGCAAAAAACACACACGACTTCCATTCTCATATATATATTTAGGACTAATTTCTTCATGATCCAATTATCGGATCTAAACCAAATTAGTTTAGCGCCACCTCTGAGCACTACCTTTCTGATAGAAATTATCGAAATCGGTTGACGTGATCCAATGTATGCGGTAACAACATAAAAAAAATATTCCTACGATAACCTTCCAAGAAATAAATGACCCATTCTCCGCTCTCCACAATTTTATGGGAAATTTGCCTTTGCTCGGGAAATAGTTTAGGTTCTATTTCGATGACTTGAGCCGCCAAGTTCGTGGTGTTGTAATTCAACTCCCTGAATAACTCATTGGACAGTTCTCCAAACCTATTTAAAATTTTTTAAAACTATCAACAGCTCTACAATTTTGTTCTCAGAGATCGTGCCAACTGAGAATTGGGATTTTCTTTCATAAATTGAACCAGCCTTTCGAGGTTGTGTTTAGTATTCACGACTTTAGACCTGCATGAAATTAATAAAAAATTGTTAAAATTACTGTCTAGCCGCCAAAAAGTAAGAAAACAAGCGCAAACCCATACTTTTTTCATAACTTTCCAACGCTTCGCTACAGCATCGAAAGCAAAAGTCTGTTCGACGGAAAATTCGATATTCAACGAAAATTTCGACACGGTTGCATAGCTCATAATTCGAATTTAACATTCGATATTCAATATTGCATAACCAGCGAAGACCGCAAATCGAGTGCAACTCATAATAAGGGCCAGGTTGTCGATCCGGGCCACCACCTTCCATAAGGTTTATTAAGGCGAAACCAGCTTTTCCTGTAAATCCTGTGAAACCTGCAAATCGTGAAGTAACTGGAACAGGGCTAATATGTTGTGTTGAATTCAAGTAGTTATTTTGCGAAATGCTAGGAATTTCCTAGTAGGAAACGAAACAATTTCAAGGTAACAGCTTTTAAAAAATAGTTTAAATTTAGTTAACGCTGCATTTACATCTTCAGTAAATTGCTTTCAATCTGCTCACACGTATGAGTTGTCAACAACAATTTTTTTAACATCTTAACCTGAAGTAAATTTTAATTATACCAATTCACAAAAATATTTATTAAATGCAAGAATCAGTACGAACTCAGAAACTCGGTAGATTTTGCGTACTGATTTCGGGCTCTTAAAAATCAGTACAATATAAAAAACAGCATATTTACTGATTAAATCAGCGCATCTGGCCGCCCTAATCAACACTGATGTATGTATGTATGTATTTTTTCATTTCAATGAGCAACATAGTAATATGCCCGTTTGGCATTATATTTTTGTTAGTAAGACAAATATTTTATTATATTATAAGAAAAACTCATTTGCTTCGAAAGCACATTCGAAAGAAATGATTTATGAAAGAATCTGATTACTCACGTTTTTTGATTAATCAGGATTGTGGTTAATTACAAAATTATTTAATTTATTAATCGCACATCCCCAGTTTCGGCCTTAAACTATGTTCACATATCAATATTATCTCAATTAAAGCTCGTTTTTTAATCACCCCATTATTAGCCGTCAAATTTGTTGTGCTTGTTATTCTCACATCTCAAGGAAAAGTTATGTTTCTACTCTGTGCCACCATGATAACGTTTTTATGCTATAATAAGCAATATAAATATATTTTAACTTAACATTTTATTAAAAATACCTTTACAAACCTCTTTTCCTTGCTAGCGTACATTTTTGTTTACTTTTACATTTGGCATTTCTCCTCTGTTTTGCAAAAACAATCGATAAAACTAGGATGGACACCGAAAAGTTATCGGTTAAATCTGAGATTATTTTATAATTACAGATTAACAAGGGACGAATTTTATATGGCTAATCTCTTGTTATAATTACAGATTAGGGTGTTAAGCTCGAAAATGAGGATAATCTACTCATATGTGAACCTAGTATTACTTATCTTCATCTCCTAATATAAAAAAAATTCTATGTACAAACAATAAGTTGAGAAAAAAGTTTATAAATATATACATACTTTGACTGACTAATTTATTTAAAAGCAATGTTTAAAATAAATTTCTCATTTCTTTTCTTTGCAGGAGGATTTATAATGGACGGAGATAAATAACATTTTATTTGTGGTAAATTTCAAAATAGTCGAAAAAAATACAATCATTCACATAAATATCTATTTAACCAACATATTATTAATATTTTTCAAACACACATATGTATGTAAAAATATCAACATCATGGAGAAACCATTACTCTTATTCTACGTATAAAATAAAGACATGCACGAAAATTTCAAAACTTAAAAAAATTAGGGGTCGCTCGCAGGGTTTGAAAATATTGTTTTTTTTTCAAATCGCGAAAATTCGATGAAATTGTGACTTTGACCATTTACACTCGGTGAGTTTAAGAATTTATTTGAATATGTTTCAATAAAATATCCAATTTATCCGATTTCAAACCTTTTATTTTGAAATTTAAGTAAATCTCCTGAATCTTTTAGAGAGTTTATTCAGTATTAATTCTAAAGCCTTGGCCAAAATATTTATTTCATTAACTACATATATGTACATACATTAGTGCAACAATAAGTTACTTGGTAACCAAGATTATTACAGTTAAACTAAAATTTCGTCACCTTCGGTATATGCCTTTGGTCAAGTAAAAACTGGTTTCATTGAAAAGATATATATATGTATCTAATTAGTTGAAAAAACATTCCGTGCTTTTTGATGAGATGACGGGTTCAAAACCAATTTTACGAGCCAGAGATGATCCCAATGGCAAAGCCCAGGTTAATGTGTTTTGTAAACTAAAAGGTGAGTGGTGAATCTCGATTGGTAGCAGGCTAACCTAATATTCACGTACGGCGCCAATTTACTGTCAAAAATTTCTCAAGCAAAATACAACTTGTATAGGACCAACCGAAATTGAACAGCGTGCGTATGAAGCTAACTCAATTTCCAATTTTTGTTGTGCGTGACTTTTTGATTTGACGTTTCGCTCAATGAAATCAAATGCAAACGCACGCAAGCCAATTTCGGCTGACAAACAAATTCGACGGCGTGCGTACCAAAATGCAGGCCGCGAATATTAGGTTAGCCTGTAAGCGCTTTTCGAAATTCACCACATACTTTCTAGTTTACAAAATATATTAGGGGTATTTTCTGAGTCTTGCAAAGCCCTTGCACGGTGTACGGTTTGCATAGCTGTCCCATACGAAAACTAGGTTTTGCCGTGCAATTTGTGCACCGTGCAAGGGCTTTGCAAGACTCACAGAATACCCCTATTACTTTAACCTGGGCATGTCATTGAAGGAAAGTGAGAAATTGTAAAAATGCTTTCCTGTAATGCAGTGGGTAAACAAGAAAGTAAAACATTTTGTCTTGAGGCGTAAGTTATGCGTTAAGGTACTGGCCCAATGGAGGCTTGCTTTGCTTTCTTCGCTTTGAGGACTGTCAAAAGTTATTTGGAATATACTAAAACGTATGAAGGCTGACCAAATAGCAGCTTTGCTTCACTTGCTTTAAGCGCCTCAAAGTTTCAAATAGGCAAATGTTTTATTTGAAAGCGTTTTGTAGGCTTTTGACAAAAAGGTATGTTCCCGTTCTTAATGAATTCAAACAAACTGCTGCACACTTTTATGAACAAAAATTTTCTTACGTAATTACAAAAAAATATATTTAACATATCGCTGGCTGAAAAGTTGCTAAGTCCATTATTGCAAATTTGACGGGAACTTTGAATACAACATTTTGCGTGTTTTAAGCAAAGCAAAACTCTATACGAATCAGAAGGATTCGATCTTTATTAAAAGATTTCTTATTACTTTGGCCTTAACGGAATTTCAACGCCTCTTTTGGACTTAGAAAATTTGCCTTTCATTAAACATAATCGAGAAAAAATAAAACAAGTACCTTAATTTCTCTTGCTTCGTTTATGAAAATATGAGGTCTCAAAAATTGTGAACTAAGCAAATTTTCACAAAGCAAAGCTAGCGATATTTATGATGTTAAACTAGTGATCAGTCGTCTCAGGAAAACCCGTTTTATTTTTGTTTTTAATAAATGTACATATATTTATATATGTATAATTGTTGTCATTCCTTTGAAATCCAAAAATTAAATCGCATTAATTTAAAAATAAATCCGAAGAGTTGTTTTGCATTTCTTTTTTTTAATTTTCTGACATTTTGTGTGTAAGGGAACAGACCTTGATTTTTTAACTGAACAGCTGGTAGCTTTGACAGAGTTCCAAGCCGCTATTTGGCCAAACGAGTATTTGAAGTAAATCAAAGCAAATTGAAGTAAGTAAGGCATGCAAAGCAAGCCAGCATTGGGCCAGCGCCTTTACTCCTTCAAAACAAAAAGTAAGCGCTTACCAAAAAACGAAAAGTTTTCGCTGGGTACCTACTCAGCTTATCGCTTTGCTCTAGTATTTTTCTTTTTAATAATATTCTTCCCAATTCTGTTTTATTTGCAGAGAGACTTCGATTGTTCGGGAGGATAGAGGATTCCAAATTAAACGACCAAAAACAAAATTTATTCAGCCAAAACTATTATTAAATACTACGAGTATATTTGATGAAATTTATTTAATTAAAATTAAATTATCTCAAAAACTAACTCAAATTATGAAATTATTGAACTGAAGAATTAAGTAATAACAAAAGTATCAAGCCAAAATGTTGTAGAAATTAAATGCAAAAGACATTCGCATGTGTGTGGTGGTGGAAAGTAAAATCAAAACAAAATTCAACATTAGAAAGAGAAAAAAACGTAGAAGACGTAAAGAACCAAAATTAGAAAGCGATTTAATCGTAGTTAAAACCAGCGTCAAAGTTGAAAACAAAATTTTAAATTTTGGCGAGATTTGAATCTTTCTACCGGCCTTTGAAAGAGGGAGGACGAAGTTAAGACTACTTCAACAAGTAAGCAAACCAATCCAAGGAGCCCATACTGTGGCAATTGGAAAACCGCGAGAAAAGTCAAAAGAATAAGTCGAATAAAAGAGGGAAAGCCAGTCGGACGCGGACAAAAACCAGCAACACATTTTTACAATAAATATTGAAATCATTGATAAGAATATCTAGCTTAGGAATGGGAAAATAACAAACTACATAATTGCTAGGAAGTTGTTTGTACCAAAAGGAGACACCCGACCACAACTGAAAAGTAAATAAACCGCCCATTGATTAAACACGTTTAAGAAGAGGATATCGGCTTGCAGAAATTATATGCAATACATATATGTAGTTATACATATAAAAGAAGCTACATCTAAATAACTACTCGCTCCCCACGGCGGTGGATATTGAAGAACTCAAATAAGACACAAAAGGCAATAAAAGTGGCGAACAATAACAAAAGTTATGCCGGCATATACGTAAAGACGAAACTATACAATAATATCCCAACTTGGACTCTTCTGATATCTAAATAAATACATATGTGTTAGTGTGCATCCGAGGCAGCACCAATCCAACTAAAACGCAAGGAAGCAGCAACTGCAAAGACAATGCAATTGCAATAAAAGGCATCGAACAACGAATATCGACGATTCTAAGGAGAAGTGCTGCGGTGAATAACAGAAGCCCCAATCCAAGGCAATACGACGAAACAAAACCAAGAGCGAGTGATTTCTAAGCAGCGACAGAGGCCGTCGTAGAGCTGAATACCTTCGCGTGTGAGAGAATGGTATATTGGTGTTAGTGATTGTCTATTAACAGTTCGCATAAGTAATAAAGTAAATTCTACAACAAAAACAAGCGAGAAAACTTCTGTGTGAAAGAAAAGGCAAAAACTTGGTGAGCCAATAGACGATCCACGTACATACACACACACAACACTGCCAGCGTAGTTGTTTGCATATGTGAACGCTGATTGTGCGACCATTGTGCGCACTCCGAAGGTTGTAGCAGCAACCACAGCTGCTCAGCAGGAGCAGAAGCGCTGAAGCATTACTTGACGACTTAACGGATAAAAAGGCAGCAACCAGTCCCCATTGTTGCTGGTAGAGGTATACAGCAGCGTCGGATATAGAGTTTGTTAGGTAAAATAAAAGGTAAAAAGAGCGAGTAGAAGTAAAGGAGAGAGCGCTAGGCTTGAGACGGGAGAGAATAAATACTTGCTGAGGCTGTTGGCATCTTATGATGTCATCAGAAGGGGACACAGAGTGTTTTGGATTGTACAGCGATGATAAGTTACTATTAAAGGCGGCCACAGCAACATTGCCAAAGTCAACGCTGGCGTCATCCTCGCCTTCATCACCGCTGTTGAAATTAGATACCGACTCTGTGGTGAAACAAGAACCGCCACCACCAACGCCGATTCAGCCGGTTAAAAGCGGAAAGACAAACTTAAACCAAAATATAGGCAACACTAGTAACGTCAACGGCGGTTGTAATAAAAACAACAACATCTGCAGCAATAACAGCATTGGTCCGGCTCTCGAGGAAACACCCGAAAGCGAGCGCATCGGCAGCGGTGGTGACAACGACAACGACAACGACGACGACGATAGCGACGTTGTTGTCGTACTTGAAGGCGTCGTAAGCAACAGCGAAGGCGCAACTAATAGTCTGAAACAGAATCGCGTTCGTAGTCGTAACCGCAGTGGAAGTCGAAGTCGCAGTCACGGCGATGTCGGTAACAACAGTGGTGGAAAACAGCAAGTCGTGCATGCCACTGAGCAAGTCAACCAAAGTAGTCCGTGTGGTGCCGTCAATAAGACAGCAACGTGCACCGCTAGTTTTCCAGCGCGTTCGAAATCAACAGCAGTAGTAATTTCATCGTCGTCGTCTAAATTGAATAAAAAGAACGTATCCTTAACGTCAAGTGAATTTCTCGTGAATAAGAACAGTAATTCAATTAATTTGAATAGTAAGAAAAATTTTGTGAATGGTAATAGTGCTATAAGTGTAGAACCGAAACTATTCGCGTCGGTACTTCCGTTTAGTGCACCGCAACTGAACAACGTTTCACGTTTTCAGGAAAATACAAGCTCAACGTCGTTGCCGTTATCGCTTTCGCCAACGCCGTCTTCCCCGCTTGTGCCGCCTACAGCGTCTGCCTTCATGAGTAGTGCTGCTGCGGCTGTCGCGGGTGCTACTGGAGGATCTCTGTATGGAGCCTTATTAAATCAGACCACTTCGTCGACCAATAGCGCTATTAACGGCGTTAACGTTAATAACATTCCACATAACAATTCTGACGTCCCTGTATCCGCTTCTTCGTCGCCAACAGCATCCCTGCTGTCTGGTAACTTTACAGCGGCTCTTGGCAGCCTCTTCTCAGCAAACGGTTTCGGTTCCGCAAAAATGTTGAATGAATTATTTGGTCGACAAATGAAGCAAGCACAAGATGCTACCAGCGGATTGCCCGCTACTCTTGACAATGCCATGTTAGCCGCAGCTATGGAATCGGCCTCAAGCGCTGAACTTCTAAGCGCAGCAGGGCTAGTAAACAGTTTAGGTCTTAATGCTACAAATAAATTGCTCAATAATAATACAATAAACAGTTTGAATAGTTTAAGTGATGCCAATACATCTGCTTCAAATAACGACAATGCCAATGCTGATAGCCAGCAACCATCTCATGCCGCGTCTGCTTCACAATCGCCTAAAAATCGACGCAGAAGCAACTGCAGTGATCGGGAAGAAGTGAATTCGCGCGCCGTTGATGTAAATTCTCCACCTCGTGCGCCCTCCGTTAGTTCACCATCGGCAGTAGGGGATGCTGCAGCAGCTTTAGAAAGGACATCGCCCAGCATTCATCAGCAACAACAGCAGCATCAGAACGAATTAGCTCACCACATGTTAAGGAACATACTGCAAGGAAAGAAAGAGTTAATGCAACTGGACCAAGAGCTGCGCTCAGTGATGGGCCAACAACAACAACAACAGCTTGCAGAAGGCCATAATACGCTTAAACATAACAACAACAATTTATCTGCTGCTAATAACAATAACGTCGCTGACAAAGATTCAAAGAACACGATAAATTTGCTGGAGGACACCATGTCTGACATCAAGATTAAATGCGAGCCAAATCAAATACAAAACAACTCTCACCGTACGTCAGCCGATCGCAGAAAATCATCTGATTCTGAAAATGCTGATTCGCAGCTGGATGAAGATCAGCAGTCAGAAGGTGACAATATGGATCAACAGAATACGGATGATCAAGATGAACAACAGCATTCAGCCTTACAGGTAAGCGTGACTAAGAAAGAGGCAGAAGAAATTCTCGAAGACGTAGAATTGATAGGTTTAAATTCTCGATCTGATTTGGAGTCCTTGGCATCGCCCAGCCAGTCTGAAATGATGCTGTTAGAGAACAGCAAGGATGAGCTGGAGGAAGAACTTGAGAAAGATGTTGCTGCCACCATGTCCAAAAAAACAGGTATGGATATGAAAAGGGCTCGCGTGGAAAATATCGTCACCACAATGCGTTCCAGTCCGTCGTCGCATCAGTCGCACTTGCAAGTGAATGGCTGTAAGAAGAGGAAACTATATCAACCACAACAGCACGCAATGGAAAGATACGTCGCTGCAGCTGCGGGTTTGAACTTCGGATTGAATCTGCAAAGCATGATGTTGGACGATGAAGCATCTACTGAAATGGAGTCGCCTCAGATTCAGCAGAAACGCGTTGAAAAGAATGCGCTAAAATCGCAGTTGCGCTCCATGCAGGAACAGCTGGCAGAAATGCAGCAGAAGTATGTGCAATTGTGCTCGAGAATGGAGCAAGAATCCGAATGTCAGGACATTGACGATACTGCTAGTGATAGTATGGAGCAAGACGACAACGGTGTTGAGCTTTCTCCATCGCCCTCCTTAACAGGTGAATCTGGTTTAAATGACAAAGTGCAACCTGATAGCGAACGTCCAAGTTCTACCTCGCCAACTTTTCCCATAAAGGCCCAGAAACATTTGACCTCGCAAAGTTCTATGTCTCTCGAGAATGCCCCTAACATGCTATCACAAATGATGACCAAAATGATGTCATCGCGATCACTTGTGAACCATCCGCAAATGCAGCAATCATTCAATGGCCCGCTACCACTATTACAGCACATGCCACAGTTGCAGGGCGAGGCGGGTGGCAGCCATTTGTCGCACCCTGCCATCAGTAACGCTGCCGCTATGTACCTGGGTCAGCAGTTCTTTTTCGAACAAGAAGCTCGTATGGCAAAGGAAGCCGCTGAACATCAGGAGCGGCAGCAGCAGCAACAACAGCAACTGCAGCAACAGCATCATCAGCAGCAACAAGAGGCGCAGGAACAACAGCGTCGTTTTGAACAGGAACAACAACAGCGCCGGAAGGATGAGAAGCAACAGCAACAACAACAGGTACAACAAGCTGCTCAACAACAAGCAGCACAGCAGCTGCAGCGGCAACAGCAACTACAACAAATGCAGCAGCAGCAACAACAACAGCATCTGGAACAAACTGTGCCAACTGTCGCTCTAAACCAACCAACCCGACCACACCTGCATCATAACCGGCTTAATCAGCGCCATAGTAATCATTCTTCTCTTAAGTCCGAGCTGTCAGAAAAATTTAACATGCTGCGATCGAGCTCCAATTCGATTATGCGAATGTCCGGTTCAGATCTTGAAGGACTTGCCGATGTACTGAAGTCGGAAATTACTACTTCACTTTCGGCATTGGTGGATACAATTGTCACAAGATTCGTACATCAACGCCGCCTATTCAGCAAACAATCGGATTCTGTGGCAGCAGCCGCCGAACAACTCAACAAAGATTTGCTCATGGCCTCCCAGATACTCGACCGTAAGTCACCGCGTACGAAAGTTGCGGATCGATCGCAATCAAATCCCATCAATAACAGTAATCCAAGCAGCGCCAATTCAGCATCGGGACAATCCGTCGTGAGTGGAAACTCTATCGCCAACTCTGCAGCAGTTCAAACAGGTAATAATGGTTCTCTTCTTCTAGTTAATAATGTCTCCTCAACTAAACAACTAAATAACGGTCATAATAATAACATATCCACTAACCACCTGGGTCACCTGCAGTCCACTGTAAATAATGGTGCGCAAATGCATGTCGGCCCAGGACCCGCTGTATCTGTTGGCGGAGTAAATGTGCCTCAACACTCGCATACAAATAATCAATCAAGCGCTTTGGCGACCTCAAGTGGTCAGTCAAATACCCAGCACGCGCAGCAAATAGCCCAAATGTCCGCGTTGAATGCGCAAAATTGCCAAAGCCTCATCGCCGCCCCGCGTCTTAATGGCAATCAGCTGTCGTTTCCCTCGCCGGCTGCAGCCGCAGCTGCGGCTATGGGCCTGCAAATGCATCATGCTGCTGCCGCAGCTGCAATGTCTGCCGCTGCTAATCAGCAAAATCATAATCAGCAGATCACGAACGACAGCTCTGCCCAAAACCCTCTAAATCCGAGTATTAAAATGAACTCCAATTCAAACACAAACAATACTAACAGTTTAAGTACAATTAATATACCACCTCCTCATATACGTCCTTCACCCACAGCGGCAGCAATATTTCAGGCACCGAAGACACCGCAAGGAATGAATCCGGTCGCGGCTGCCGCACTCTATAATTCCATGGCCGCCGGCGGCCCCAACCAAATGAACCCCTTCTGCATTCCAGAGTCGCGTGAAGCCCAACAACAACAACAGCAGCAGCAACAACAACAATTAGAGCAGAACGAAGCCCTTAGCTTAGTTGTGACACCGAAGAAGAAGCGTCATAAGGTGACCGATACGCGCATAACGCCGCGCACCGTCAGCCGCATATTGGCTCAGGATGGTATAGTGCCTCCGAATCCCGTGGCATCAAACACCATGTTGGACGGCGCTGGAAAATTCAGTCAAATAGGCCTCCACCCCAACCAGCAACAGCCACAGCCCAATCTTACCCCGTCGGGTTGTAATCCAACAAACGCAGGAAACAATAGCACCAGTGCTACTCCGGTCACCGCGAATATTGCGGGCAATGTAAAAACGACGCCCGCACAAAGCCCATCACCATGTGCCCAAGCGGCCACCTATCATCCGCCGCCACCACCACCACCCATGTTGCCCGTGTCACTGCCCACCTCCGTGGCCATACCCAATCCTTCGTTACACGAGTCGCAAGTATTCTCACCTTACAGTCCATTCTTCAATCCTCACCCGCCACATGCGCCACCACCCCCGCACGGTCCACATAGTGGTGCCCATAGTACGCCAACCGCTGCCCAAATGCATCACATGAAGATGTCATCAAGCCCACCCGGCCTTGGCGGTCTGATGGACTCACGTGAATCACCACCGCTTCCTCATCCGCCATCAATGCTTCATCCTGCACTGTTGGCCGCTGCCCATCATGGCGGCTCACCTGACTACAGTGCCCATCTGCGCGCGGCTATGGATGCTCAGGACCGTAATTCAGATTGCAATTCAGCGGACATGCAATTTGATGGAATGCAGCCAACAATATCATTCCTGAAGCAGCAAATGATGTAAGTACTAAACATATTTTATTAAAATAACTTTGCAAATAATTAACGAAATTATGAAATTATCAAGAATGATATTTAGTTAACTGTCTGACCATATAATACTAATAATATTATTTTTGGCGCTTACACTTTTGCTAAGAGTTTGGCCAAGCTTATCCTCCAAAATTGGTATGCATCTTGATGATGTTACACAAATCGAGGGACCTACAGTTTTACGCCGCCTCCGAACGGCTAATGGATTTTATACGAAGCTTTTTCATGGCATAAATTCTCTCGGAGGTTTGCCATTGCCTTCCGAGGGGTGACCGATATTAGAAGAATCCTAAGCATGTATATGTACAGTGACTCAAACAAATGACAACGTGTTGTTTTTTTAAATATTCGTAATATTTTTCCAGCTATTATTTTTGTTGTTATTTTTATATAAAAATATCGTCCAAGATTTAACCAAAACCGTGTAAATCACAGTTTCAAACTTTATGCAAAACTTAGAAACACTCAACAAATTTTCGTCAAAATTTCAAATATTTATTCTAAATTTGTAGAAATTTTTTGGATATGCAGTTTTATAGCCCATACAATTTTAATCTAATGACGTGCAAGTTTCAAACGTCTAAAAAATTCATTTTTGAGAATTTTTTTGGAGGCTACTTTTTCGGGTTTTTAACAAGCGCAATTTACAAAAACTTGCGTTGATATTTTTAAATTTTGTTGCTGACGGTCTCCCGCGTTTTATTTCATAAGAAATGCATACCTATATAAAAGAGTGTCAAAAATCTCAAAAATCAACGCGACTCTTAGCCATTTGAATCTTGCACTTCATTAGACTAAAATTGTATGGGCTATAAAACTGCATACTAAATAATTTCTAAAAATTCGGAATAAGATGTTGAAACTTTGATGAAAATTTGTTGAATTTTCCTTAATTTTTTATAAAGTTTGAAACTGTGATTTATACGGTTTTGGTTAAAGCTTGGACGATATTTTTATATAACAATAACACACAAAAATTAGCTCGAAAAAAATTACGAATATTTGAAGAAAATCAACACGTGGTCTTTTGTTTGAGTCGCTGTATATTAGAATATTTAGTTCAAAAACACATTCTTTTTGGAAATTCATAAACGCTACATCAAAATATTGTTATTTGTGATAAAACAAAGAAACACGCATTTCTTTATTTTGAAAACAAAGTTTTTTTGGAGGTCGCGCTAGTCAGTTTTTTTATAAAAACGCTGGTGTTTAAATTTTTAGAATTTCATGACATGTTAAAATATAGCTAAAAATTGTGTTTTACATGTAATTACTAAGGTATTATTGGAGAATATTCCCTTAATTACATAGCTGCCTTGGATAGTTAGAATGGGCCTAGTACCCGTAAATATGCTTTCGAAAAGAGACTGCCAAAATGAAAACGTTGATACTGAACGTTTTGAGCATTATCATGGGCTAAAACTCACTATCAGGGGGTTTCTAATGTCGTATTGCTACCTCAAGCGTTTACGGATTTCAAAAAAATATTTTGTTTTAACCACTCTAATGTATATACACAGTGGTCGAAAAATTTATTGCCGCACTACATATTGTCAAGTTTTCACAATTTATTTTATTTTTTTGTTATTTACAGCCTTATTATTTATCGAGAACAATAGGCCGCACGAACAGTGCACGGACTTTAACACTTTATTGGTAGATCTACCAATAATTTCGCTATATTATATTTTCTACCACATTTACCAACAAAGGCTAAAAAGCTACTAATATTTCCGGAAAGAAAGGAAAGGGATTTAATTTTTAATTTTTTAGCATTCGGAAGTGAGTTCGCTTTTTCAAATCAAATTGAATACGGGAAAAAACAGCGCTCATTTTACTTAATTAGGTAATGGATGCCGTGATTCGGACCCAATCTTATGTATAGGTTTTTTATTGAATATTTTATTCACTTGAAATACATTGGTTGTGTTTCCTTGGGATATCCAGCTCAGTATCGCGATCATTTCTCACGGAAACGATCATTCTTATTGGGGCTTGCAGCACTAATTTTATACTGTTAGCAAGAGGAAGACGAAATTATAAAAATGAACTCACTAAATGCGGAAAAGTACATTCCAACGAAATAATATTCACTTAAATAAACATTAAACATAAAGGCGATTTATTTGAATCAAGTTAAGAGAAATGGCAGAATATCTATTTGTGTATACATTCATTTGTCAATGCTACCAAACCCTGCAGCAAACGCAGCGGATCATAAATTGAACCAGATTTCTATCAGAATTATATCGTTGTTGTTGCATTTGCGGCCATTTTGTTTATCCGGATCTCGATCATAGCTCAAGGAAATACAGCAATTTTTGTTATTTTATATAAAAATACAATTTATCCTAAGGCGAATTCATATAAGGTGATAGCAGGAGTACAAACACAAAATTTTCACTTACAAATTTTATGCACAGTCCCAGTAAGAATTACAACAAATACATAATTTTGGCATTAAGAACTACCGAGTCGGAAATCCAGCAGCTCTGGTAACATCATCTTTTCTGAATTCGCCATATTTTATCCTATATGAGCAAAAGTTATCTAATATTGTTTCCTTTAAAATATCTACCAACTTCTACCATTTTTTGTATGTAAAATCTACCAAAATTAATTTTTTCGAAGTCTGTGCACTGCGCACGAACGATTCAAACGAGTTCGAGATAGATAATGAGGCCGTTAATTTTAGTTATTATTTTACGAAAGTTTGTTAAATTTTTTTAAATATATATTTTTATAAAAAAATAACTAACAGTAAATAACAAAAAAATAATAATTGTGAAAATTTGTCAATATGAAGTGCGGCTGTCATTTATTCGACCACTGTATATCGTCTACACTCTATGATCAAATATCTGCCCTGCAACTTAACCCACTTAGTCTCCGCACTGCACGTTAATGTTTCTTAAGCTTCGCTGCTAATTTCCTCTTAATACATAAGAAAGGCTAAATCAAGTCAACAAAACGAAACCAATCAAGTGACTCTATTTGCATGTAACAATGCAACATTACAGCACAATAAAATAAATTCACTTAAAACGGAAAATGTAATCAAAACCAAAGTCTAAAGCAACCTGATTGCACCAACCCTAATTATTCTTAAGTACTTGCTAAACTTAACGTAGGTACATTCTATTGCAACTCATACGCCACGTCGTCTTGCAGAACCATTTCCCAGCAACTAAACGAAGCAACCATCAACGCCAAAGCCATTTCCACCAAACCCTGTGAACAAAGTGCAACAAAAAAGCAGAATAACATAGAATGCAAATAAGGAAAACCGACACGTTAGGTTATACTTAGTTATTTCAGTAATTTTTGGAATCTCACGAACTTCTCGTTACTGTAATCAATAAATAGTACATTTAAAATTTAATATCTTTACTACAGCTCTCTATATTCATTAAAAATTCTGTTTTTAAAATAATTTTCTTAATTTTTTGCTTTGCATTCCAAAAAAACTTTTGTGAATGTTTTCACACGTAAATTCAGCAAAAATAGCGACTCCTTGACTCCACTGCACTCGTCAACATTAACGCCAATGCACCTGCGCAAAGCCAAACTGATGTTCTTCTGGGTGAGGTATCCTAGCTCAGCGGTACTGAAAATGTACTTTCCGGACATTAAATTCAATAAGAATAACACAGCACAATTGGTTAAATGGTTCTCAAACTTCCGGTAAGTACAAATAACAAAATGTAATATACACATGTAAGTAACTACGTATCGTTAATTTACTAAAATACTGTCAAAAATTTATAGTAGAATCTTCCCGCATATTTGGACTCTATGTACATTAGGGTGGTCCAAAAACAGTAAAGTCGGAATTGTAATGCTCTCACCCCCTAGGATTGTTCTATATCGAAAAAAGCATACCCCTATTTTTTAATTTTGAAATCAAAAATATATAGAGGTCGCTTAAAGCGCTCAAAGGTTTCCATGTATTTTTAAATGGGAAAAATACATTTTTTCGTAGAAATGGTATAGAATTCTTGAAAGTCAATATTTTTCGATCGGAACTCTGGTTCTCTTCAGGAGACTTTCAATAATAACACCCATTTGTTTATTTAACCATTTTTTAATACTAACGATTTTTTATTGTTCGTCCCATTGCATTTTTCGGTGTTTTTGCGGGTTTTTGGCGGACCTATAAATTATAGTTGCAATGGTTAAATAAACAATTGGGTATTATTGCTGGGAATCTTCTGCAGATAAGCAGAGTTTTCTGGTAGAAAAATATTGATTTTTAACTTTTGCCATTTCTACGAAAAGTGGTTTTTCCCCCATATAAAATACATGGAAAACTATGGGCGCTTTGAGCTACCTCTAAATATTTTTTGATTTCAAAATAAAAAAATTAGGATAATTTTTTTCGGTAAAGAACAATCCTAGGGGGTGAGAGCATAAAAAATCCGACTTTACTTTTTTACATGTATTTTTGGACCACCCTAGTGTACATACGATCATTCAATATTAAACGAAAAGGTGATTTCCTGCGCAATGGCCTAGAGTTCACTCTTTAACCCCACGTCTCCATTTTCTACTAAATGTGTCTTAACATCTGCCAAATTTCTGATTTAACTTTGTCCCACTTTCTCATGTGAGCAACTTGCTGTCTTAACATATGACTTTTCCAAATGGCATCAAGCCAACCAGATCGATCTGTACCCAATGTAGATGGCGCGGTAAAATGAAAACTTAGTTGTCAAACTACCAAGTGACAGCTGATGTTAAGACAGTGATGGTAAGAAATTCGGCAAGACAGATATGGTTTAACAGTGGAAATTTGCGGTCTCCACCTGACATTTCTGTCTTAACACAGTTTGTTTAACAGAATCTGTAGAAGGTGGAGACAAACTGACTGAAATGCAAAGAGCACAGTATATACAGTATTAAACCTTTTCGCAGTTTTTCACCATTTGGTCCCCGAGGAGTACTTTTGGGTTGTGTGCAGCGTTTTCGTTTTGCGCGCACGGCAACACTTACTGTGGGGAATTTCGCCTCATGATTATAAAAAATTCATTTCGAGGATAAAATATACATAATTATGTGTTATATATGAACAAAATGTAGGTTAAGTATAATATTTATCTTTAATGTACGCTGATATTCATGCTTAATGAAGAATAATAGGGGTCTTCATTAAAAGTGATAAACTCTTGATAAACTTGATAAAGTGATAAATTTATCATTTTGGTAAATGAACTGTCAAACTTTGTATGGAAATCTATTTAACCAAAGTTTATCACTTTATCAAACGACCTTGGTGGATAAATGTATAAATTCCAGCAAAATTTAACCCCCACAGGTTGCCAGGTAGTCGCTTTTGCTACGAACACATAAAGGCAAATGAACACAATGGACGAGGTAAGAATGAAACGTAACTAGCCATACAAGTTAAATAATAAACAGTTTTATGCAATTATTTACCAAGGTGCGTTCATGAAAGAAGGCGGATAAACTGATAAATTTAAGCAATTCATCACTTTAGATGAAGACTCCTAATATCAATAGTCAAGTACATAATTAACGCTTATATTTTATAAACTGGAAAACTCAAATCGTAATTATAGCATTAAATGGAGTTTTCTTAAATGTAAGTTTAAAATATAAAAAGGTCCATTGTAAGACTCAATTTTTTATGAAAAACGTTAATTTTGTGAATTTATCAAGCCAAACTCTAAATTTCCGAATATATTTTAGCGCATCCGCCCAGACAGTTCATTAAGCACACCCAAGCTTGAGTGATCTACAAGTTACAAGCGTTTTCAGCATTAACCAGTTCATTATCATGTACGGTGTAATATAACAAATCCTGTCCTAGTATCTATAATAATAGATACAAATTTGCAATGTTTTTAAACTTTTGCAATTGGTTTCGGGCACTATTACACAGTCATGACTTGTGCTACTCTGCCATAGTACGGTTGTTGCTCCCTTTCATACCACAGAAATTTTGTATACAACTCTGAATCAACAAAATTCATGCTCCTTCTCATTATCAACCGTGATCAGATTTTACCCCCGAGGAGTACTCAAAAAGGCTTATACTGTGGCAAAGAGCGAGAAAACTGTGCTGTACCATGATTCAATAATACAAGGTTAGATAATTATTGACAGCCGCGGTTTGACTCTCCCTTACAAAAGGTTGCATTTCCGAAGGATGGAGAATGGGGAAGAATGATATCTCTTGGTGCAAAAATGGTAGTAGAAAAGTAGGCAAAGTAGGCAATTAGTAGTGAAATTCCTTTGGTAAATTCTAATGTATTTGCAGGAAATCTGGCATTTTAAACGAAATATTTAACGTAATATTGATATATCTACATGAATTACGTCATTTATGTGCTATTTAGCTGGATAAAAACTACAAAATGACTCAAAATAAAAATAACACTACTATGGGTTTGATGTAAACATCCAATTTAAAAACAATTTATGTTTTCATCAGTTAAATATGCTTCATATGCATATACAAATAAACATATTGCACAAAAGCTTATACTTCTATTTCACAGTAAAGCTACACTTTTTCCAAGTAAATCTGCAAAGAAGCAACACGGTGCCACTGCTAAGGAAGCGATGCGAGAGAGACAGCTGTCAGTTTATCCCTGTGGACAACTGAGAACGGCAAATAAAACTGCCCTCTAGTGATGTGCTGAATTGTCGGTACCCAATACTTAAAAGGTTTCGGTACCCAATACTTCCTTATCGGTACCCGATGCCGATTTTTTACATTAAACCTTCGCCATTATATGCATTTTAAGTTTAGAAAAAACTTGCATTATTAATTTATATTAAATCGGCACACTTGAACTTATCGCAACAGAGAAATATTATTTTATCAGCTTTAACCTTAGTCGCTCCAAGGTTCAAGAAAAAAACTTCGACGGTTGAAGAAGCCTTTCAGCTCCCTCCTGCAACCAGTTAGCTACAAGTTTCGGATCGATATCGCACTTGTTGACATAAAAATATTTCTTATCATACGTCAACAAAACCGATACCGATTCGAAAATTGTGGCTAACTGGTTAGAGAATCTGCCCCCAGGCCTACAAAAATGATATCGTCCGATTCAGCTGGAACAAAAATGCTTCAAACAAGTAAGAGTTTCTCTGCATTATGGCCTCGAACCGACATATATACATCTTTCATTTTAATCAGTATTAAAAGCTCTATTGGCTCCTACATTCGGGTTTTGATAGGCGAATCTCCCCTGAACCGTTTTTTCCATCGTTTTGGCCTATGTGTGCTTTTATTCGAAACCTAAATGCTTCGGTACCGAGTATCGAGAGTATTGGATACTTAAAAGTATTGACTTAGCACACCACTACTGCTGTCATCTCATTCACTGAGAGCCGATTACACTATGTAACAAGGTTTTTGTCCCTGGGTTGTAATTGTTATTTCCTAGTCAGTTAGGTCCCAAAAGTATAGAAAACAGCTATTGTCGCAAGATAACTTTGCTTTTGTGACCATGGCAGCGCATGGCATGGGTCTTATAAAGCAATTCGTCAAAGCTCTCGACAAAAATTCTTCAGCGTTCAAGTACCTACAAGACTTGTTCCCTAAGCTCTCTGAGGCGAAAGTTACAGCCGGTATCTTCGTTGGACCACAAATAAAGAAAATCTTCGAGTCTGAGGAATTCCCCAAGAAGCTCACTCGTTAAAGTCACATGTCAGAGGAAGCGTCACGACAGCAAAGTTTCCGAGGAATATTAGGTGGTTTCCATACTTTTAAGGCATAACAGACTAGGAAATAACAATCACATCCCAAGGACTGAGAAATTTTTTTTTTTGTTACTTAATGTTAGCGGTGCTGCCATCGGCGCACTATGGGACTACAGCGGCCAAAAGTAGTAAAAACAGATAAGCAAATTCTGAAAAAATAATTACTAATAATTAATATTTGCAATCATGATACGAGCTTAAAATAGGAGCAATGCGAGAAAATAAATTTGTAAGAAAAGATTTTCATTTTTTCGCAAGTAATTTGAATTCATTTTTCCACTTGTGCGGATATATAAAAAGCCAATCTAATTGATGAGCAGTTTTTGAATACATCTGTGGTCAAACATTGCTTTAAATTTTTATACATCTTTTGAATTGCATAAAACAGTTTACCATGAAATTCTACATAATTTTGTGAGTGTAAAATTTTTCGAGTGCTTACTTTTAAAAGGGATATTAAAAAAGGACCCAGGAAGCGAGCTAAATTATACTTAGGACAAGTTAGCATTAAATATGCGTGTCATATCTCCTTTTCTAGACTAACCTCCTGTAAAATTTATTGAATTTTTATTGTAGAGTAAAAAGGAAAGACTCTGATATGTATATTAAATGAATGATATGCAATATAAAGTGGAAATTAAAGAAGGTGTAGATATTAATGACTCGCCAATCTATTACTCCCAATCAACGTTCAGCCAAAAATGGACGTTTCTCCGGACGGGATCCGTTTTCGATGGCAAGAGTCCTGCTTGCCTTAGCTCAGCTTTTGTGGTATAAAATGTAGGTAAAATTGAAAGTTTCAGTGTAAATACATATCGTGCACATAATTTAATATGCCGGTATTGTAAATGCTTTCGCTTTGTCATTTTTAAAATGAAGAAATATTAACTTCTATAGAAATAAAATAAATGTGCCTGTTCATTTTCTCCAAAATCCATAAAATTTAGTACTTGGAGCCAAAAAAGCTGTGTAGGAGGTGGG